CACAGTATACTACTATACATATATAAAACTATTCATACAGGTCGAGGAAAATTTCCAGAAAAGTTTCAACTTTTCACATCTCATGTGCACAATTCTGAAAGGATTCTACAATATGTCATATGAAATGTTTTAATAAAAATATGTTTCTAAAATCTATCATGCAATAAATTGAAGAATATATTTAAACAGAATAAAAATAATGATTATAAAATGGTTTCAAAATGTTTACAAATGTTTTACAAAAAGTAAAATTTTTATCAATTCAATTTAATATCATTTTAATGTTATTGTGAGTTGTTTTATTTTAATTGCGAAAAAATTTTGTATATAAATAATCTCTTAATAAATTTTAAATACTTCAGAAATTATATTTAAATATATATTTAATTGATACTTAAATAATATTTAAATTTATTATGTTGAGATAATAAATTTAAATATTATTTAAGTATATCAATCAAGTATATATTTAAATATCATTTTTGAAGTACTACACTGTTAAAAATATGAAATTTAATAAAGTTACACGATTTAAATTTAATTTAAGTTACACGATTTGAACTTAATTTCATAACATTACATTAAATTTAATTTATAACTAAAAAATATATATTTTCAGTTGAAAAATTTCTGAGATATTTCTGAAAACTTTCGAACTGTACTATCATATAATAGTTCTATAATAGTAATATTCTATTATACAGTATTCACCAAGCTATTATTTACAATGTTTTTATAATTATAGGAACTCTAGATTTATACAGTATGCTCCCAAATTAAATCGTCAAATATACCTCAAAATATGAATTTAAAACTTCAAGTTTTGAAGCAAAATTTTCCTAGGTTTTGCTCGCAAATGCTAATTCATTCAAGAAATATTGACTTCTTAAATTATTGAACTTATATAGCAATAAAGGTAATTCTTTATAAAAACTTATACATAGCTAAGATGACTTTGACCTTGATATATGTGTTAAAATCATATAGAAATTATCTATCAAATAGAGATAAATGGAGATAATTCTATAAAACTTTTTTAGATAAATTATCCAATTGCATTTTACATATGTCTTTATATTACAAATACAACTGGATTTTTTTTTATGCATATATGTTTTATGCAGCTTGCAAGTTTTTTATCTTTCAACATTTACGAATACAATTGTATAATTATATAACTCGAAATGATTTTTATTTTTTTTTATATATGTCCGATTTTTAGACAGAATCAGTAAAGTAATTTAAAGCTGAAAAGTCATTTAGATTTTCAAATCCCAATTATATAATCTGTAGAAGATTAATTTCATCGATTTTGAATTTGTCACGATAAATAAAACAATTTCCTACAGTGCCCTCTCCCACGGATAAAAAAGACTGTTTACCGCAACGACATCTCTCGTTTTTACAATTTGATAGAAACGAGTTACGAGAGAGACCTAGGAAGTAGGGAGAACCGTCTGGTCGGAATCATCGTATGCATATGGTGCCATTTGTATTTGTTATCGTTGGTGTTACGCGGATGGTGCTGTGGGTGCTGGTCTCGGTATAGTCTCTCCCGCGGTGCGAAGCGCAGGATGGGCAACCAGGTGGCACGCGTCGGAAACGCGTCGCATAGGAAGGTGGAATCCGCGCCCGCGGCAAGCACCGGTAACGGGAATCACGGCGTGAACGTCACTGCCTCCTCCATCGCCGCCGTCATCTCCAAGAGCGAGCCGGATCATCACAACTCTCACACGCAGTTCTTCCCGATCGAGAACCTCGCCAAGGTACAATGGTCCGCTTGGTCGATTTAAAATTGTTCTCGAACTTCAATAGCAGGCCGTACTCTTGGCGCCTTGGAAAATCGTTCAGGAAAAACGTGGAGCAATATGACCTCTGTTGCCAAACATTTCTATAGCTGTTTGGGAGAACGACAAAAACAATCTCTTTCCATCCGATTTTTTAAATTATGTTCCTCGTATCGATGTATTTTATTTTGTCTGCGCTGCAACTCGCGGAAATCATTTCATATTTCCTCATGCAATCACTTTGAATATTTTTATCATAATTCTTTGGATATTCTGAAATCATGAATCACACTTTTTTTCCTGTCAATTATATAAGTTAATTTTTGTGAAATATGTGACTGTAAATGGATGATTATATAGAGATTGAATCTCAGTCACATAATTTATTTTTAAAGACACTTGATAATATTAAAAACTAAGTGACAAATTATTCAGAGATTGTTTATGGAAAAATATACTTGAGATAGGGAATTGTGGAATTAATTCGGGAGAACAATTGCATTTCCATTTTTTTTGAAATTTCAAAAGAGTTTTTCCAAGACTTTCATACTCCCTGTGTTTCATTATATCATTTCTTTGCATACAGGTACCCATATCTTATATGTAACTAGCTGTTATCAAAAGCTAACATTACCTGGCTAGTTTTATTTATATAATGAAAAACATGCAATCTTCTTTGTTTGCAAACAGAAGTATAGAAATTATTTTACTTATATCTCTCTGATTTCTTTAATATTTAATGATTCTTATTTTACAAACATGAGTACAAACTGAAGCGTTCCTTGAATTAAATTTTAATATTTATAATTAAAATATTTATAATTAAATATTATTTAATATAATTTAATATTTATAAAAATTTAATATTTAATAATTAGTAATATTCCTAATACTGATATTGTATATTTTGCAGATATTGTCGCATCTCGCTCACCAAGAGGCACATGTTAATGGCATTACCAAATCTATATTTGAAAAGTACTTATTTCCTACTCATCCTGAGTTAAGCGAGAGACTCTTCACTTATCTACACCATAATGCTCATGCCACAACTGCGTATATAAGTACAACAGCTTTCAAGCAGCAATCTGAGAAATTTTTGTCAGTAATGAACGACCAAGCTATACTGGAGAATTATGTAAAAATATATTCTGATCTAAAGAATGGTGGCAATGTTACTCCCGAAACGCTGCGAGCATTATTGACATCTTGCTATCAGTTGGCAATGGAAAGCAACAACACCAGTGCGTGCCTTCATTCGCAACAGATAATAAATGCAGTTGTCATTTCATGTGTTAGTAAATTTATTCTTTTAATGCAAATAGTATAAATGTGTACTGCAATTTAATTATTATATATAATGTAACTATTCACAAGTATGTAACCATAGAATCTGAATTGGTATTTTGAATAATTCATATTTCTATGTGACTTGTAATTATTAGAGCTAGGAATATTTTACAGTTTCACGGCAAGACTAGCTTGTCTACGAGTTACGTGAGCAATTGGATCGGGCAGCACTGTCCACGCCTTGTGTATGGCCTACAGCGATACGTAGTACATGTGTTAACAACTGCTTATCGCAATGGTAAAGCCCTCCTGTCGAAAGAACAGCCGCAGCCTTCCGTAGATATACTTACTCCCGTATTGGAAAAGTCCGATCAAGAGTTCCCTCAAGTGGACTTGTTGCCAATAAGTTATGTCTGGCTGTTGTCGTGTACACTACCGCAATGTTATCTCCAGGTACGTTGTCGCAGATTACGCAATACTAATCGATACTATTATGTTCTGCCCGTAAAGTATTTTGCATAAAGAGATTAATTATTATAGCCAATTAGTATTGTATACATAACTGGATCTACGTATCTATGTGCGTGGTGTGTATGTGTAGACCAACGATTCACCGAAGGACATAACTCACGCTTTGATAGCCAGAAGAACAGGCAGTATTTGTCCAAAGCATTGGACGTTACTGTACAATAGCGGAGAGCATGGGACTGGAGCTAATCGCTTCCTTCACCATGTATTAGGTTACAGAGGTCCCACTCTGTTAATTATAAGAGCCGCTAACCTAGAGAGGAATGAGGAATGTCCGACATATTGCGTGTGCTCGGCTGTCGAGTGGCGAGAAAGTCATCTCTATTGGGGCGATGAAGACTCGATGGGCATTCAACTGATTCCATCCTATAAAATCATGGAGAAAGGTCCAAAAGTACTATACTTGAACACGAATATCAGGGGTTATCCACATGGTTTACGATTCGGTAGCGATCCTCGTTCACCGCTTATCAGTATCGATGAATCATTCCACTCAGTGACTATCGCCGGCGCGCCTTATCGCATTGCCAGTTTAGAAGTCTGGGGTTGTGGCGATACGAAGCTAAGGTAATGTCTTGCAAACTGTGAAATGAAAACATTTGTTGATGCAAGGAAGGATAATAAGAGATACTATTAAATTTGCAGAGAGAAGCAATTGGAGATTAAGAAGTGGCAGGTGAAAGAAGCAGAGAAACAGAGGGTCGTCAAGTTAAGTGCGAGCGATTGGCTGGATCATCCTGATCGTTACTTACTAGAGTTGGCCGGCAGAGCTTCTTACAACGAATCTAACAATTAGAGCCGCGAAAAAATAATGTGCGTGCTCAAATAACTGCTCATATTATTATTTTATTATTTTACTTTGTACATATGTATATAGCATCAAAGATCAGAATTTCTGTACTTATGTGGTGTACGAAGAACGTACGTATGAAATGTGATTATGTGACTTACGAAATATAGGGACTTATGCTTGACGTACTTAAGCACAAGTGCCAGTTTGTAATTGTCTAGTTTTCTTTTTTTCAGTATTTCCTTATAAAATAATATTATTTTTTATATTTTATAAATGCTTTTAATGGATTCGTTTATGAAATGATTATTTTTTTAAAGTATTTTTCTAAAATTTTTTTAAATTCTAATTTACTATTTTAGAAATTATGTTTTTATCTGATTTGACAAAATAACTTGATAAATTTTATTTTAATAATCAATTTGCATTCAATTTGTTTTTTGATATTTATATATAAAAAAAATACGCATATAAAGTTGAAAATAAATATATTTTTGTACAAAATTTCGTACATACTTATATATCTCGCATATTTGTATATATCGCGTTTTCATTGATTGTGCGTGATGCTATTTTATAAAACATTAACAAAATGCAAATATTAGTTTATCAATCTGTTTTTCATTGTTACAAAAAATTATTCAATTAGTCCTTGAATTCTTTATCACAATTGTCAATTCTACGAATGAGACTTTTCCAGCTAAAGTCTTCCTCACCATCTTGCAAATTTATCACATTCTTTTCCTCGATAACATCAAACAGGTTTTTAAATGGTACATATCTAAGTAATGTGACTTTATCAGCGATTATAATCAGCTTGTGTCTTGCGCGAGTGATGGCTACCGTCAAACGTCGCTGATCATCCAATATTTCAAATTCTTTCTTCGTTTCGCTTTCGACACTCTTAGTACACGAGTACAGTATAACATCTTTATCACGTCCTTGATACTGATCTACGGTGTTTATTTCCACTTCTTTATCTATGACCTTTTTTAATAAATTTATATGAGCATTGTAAGGCGCAATAATTCCTATATTTCTAGCGCACACGCCCGCCTCAATGAGTACCTGGACGAGACGCAAAGTAATAGCGACTTCCCAAATGTTGGAGTACATTTGATTCAATATAATGTCTCTATTGCCAGATTCTACGTTCAAATTGTAAGTTCTACCAGTATTGAGCACCATCACTGAGTCATCCAGGTTCCTGGAAAGCGCACTTCTCACCCATCTCTCGCAAGATGAAAGAACTTGCTCCATATTTGTGCCAGTCAAAGTCGCATTCTCTATCTGCTTGCTGCCAGAAACTAACTTACCACGATATGTCGTTTCATTGGCTAGCCTCATGATACTTCCATTCATTCTGTACTGCTTCCACAAATTGATAGTGTTGTTGTCGCTATCTAGCCTAACGAATAGAGATTCGCCTGCGCCAAGTTTCGCGGCAGTCTTGTTTTTGATGATAGGCGGCAACTGATCTGGGTCTCCGACAAGGATAAATTTGTGTGCGCTGTATAATGGTCGCAATACCGTGGGCAGCATGATTTGCGCGCTTTCGTCAACCACGCACACGTCGAAACTACGTCTCCTAAGGAGTGCATGATATGCGCCGTAGCAAGTCACGCCGACAATACGTTTGCTGTTATAGAGTGTCTCCAAGTCCTCCGGCGAATCGCAACTCGCGAGCGCATATTCCTCGTTCTTGCACGTTAACAGAGGATGGATCTGCTTTGTCGAACCGAGACGTAGAAAGTCGATGTTTCGTTCCAGCAGCTTGAGAAGAATGTTGTCCACCGCGCTGTGCGTGTGCGCGGTAATTAGCACGCTGGAACCCAACTCCTGCAACAGCTCTATTAGAGCTACCAGCGTCTGCGTTTTCCCTGTTCCCGGCATACCTTTTATCAGAATGTATTCTTGGGCAGCTATTGCCTTCAGCACAGCTCTCTGCTGATTCTCATTTAGATCGCTTATTATCTTAGCGCTAACTGACACCACCGAACGTGGTAATTTTTCTATAAATGTAGCTGGTCTCCTATCGATGACAATGCATCGAAGTTTGACGTATGTTTCATCGTTGTTCAACAGACCGGCTATGTTCGCGTAATTGAACGTAGATAGACCTGTAGAGGGATATTTATCAATATGAAACGTAGAGTTTGCATACAATTGAGTAATATCTTTATCCAATAGGACCTTAACAATGTCATACGAAACATGCATTATATATCCAGCAGCTATATTAACTCGTGCATCCGTGCTAACAATAATATAATTGTCCTTGGTGAATGTACCGCCAAGTACACTGTTCTCGATAGTTTTCTCCTCAATGTTTACGCGTGCAAATTTATGCTGATATCTATGCTCTTGCTTTATCACTTTTCCGACAATCTTCAAATTGCAGATACATGTTCCTTTCGCCTCCCTCTTCTCGGGACTTGTCGTCCATATGCTGCTTAAACTACTATTATTGTTCTCGTAATTTTCTTCTAATTGCAATAATGCAATCCATTTCATAATGTAATCCAAATGTCTAGTCTCAATGTTGTCCTGCACGTCTTTAAGTAGCGCTGTTAACGGATGCGACAGTGACAAATTCACGTTTGGGTCCCTCGCTAAATACGCACAACACAAAGTCTGATAAGAACATCTGCTGCACGCACTGTGATGGTTTATTGGTTCAGGCAATTCCATTGCCTTTAGATCCGATTCCAAATTTATGCTCTGTAGATCTTCGGGTTGTTTAGTGAAATAATGCGCCAAAGTATTTCGCAGCAGTATCAAATCCCTCTTCTCGTGATGTCCGCTTTTAATTTCCTGCATTGCGTTTTCCTTTAGATATAATAGAAGTCCGGTATCGATATCTTGATCCCTGAAACCCATCATCATAAGATAAAGGATAACTTGGCCCTTGTGCTCGAAAGAATAGGAAGCTCTTCCAGTTTTTAACTCCAAAGGCATGATCTTTCTTCTTGAATTAATATTCACTTCCGCCGTCACATCTATTCTTCCTTTTATGCCCAGCTGCGGTACATAAACGGTCTCCTCGATGTCCTGTATGTTATTAATATTCCCTTGAAAGTTGTTCTTTAGATTGCTTATGTGATGCTGTTTGTTACCTATGATATAATGCTGAATAAACTCAAAAATTTTCGGAGCATACTCCATCATACGTTTCCGACAATCCACAAGCGACATTTCTGACGCGTAGAGATAATCTATCGTATCCTTCAATCGTAATATATCGTCTAACAGCTTAATCACATCGGATAGGGTGCAGACATTCTCTTGCAATGCCTTTTGCAGCCACTGATGAACTAAAGATCCCATAGTTATCACGGAATAATCTGCGTTCAAATTTGGTAGCGACTCTATTTTTCTGAATTTCTCAGTCAAAACCGCTCGCCTGTTGCAAAATAAACCACCCATTATTGTCGTGCCAGATATTAACAAATCAGGCTGTATGACAAGAAAACCGTTATCATTATCTACAATCCATTGTCGCGAACCTTTTGTAGCCTGTATCGTTACAATATCGTTAATTTTTACTTGTGCATCTTTCCAAAATCCTGAACATGCAACAAAGTCAATATCTTCAGATTTCAAGTGCCGTACCGTTAAAACAGTGACTTTCGATTCGTGCTTCACGTCAATTATTTTACACCTTTCAAAGGTGGTAAAATTAATCTGCGCATGCCACTTTTGATCAAAGAAATCATCAAACTCATCTCCATTTATCATCACAGAAAAGTCTTCGAAAGATTCTGTTTTCTTTAAATCATGTAATTTAGCTTTTCCATGTTCAGATGTTTCCACAGCAGACTCCAAAGTAACAATATTTAAATCTTGTTCTTTAAAAACACGATTATTATTATGAGTAACATCTGAAACATTTACACTTTTAAGAATGACAGAATTTTGTAAAATATTTATACTTTGCTCGCTTTTTACTGTAATATCACCTTCCTTTTCAACTTTCTGAAGTACTATATCTTTACATGTAACTTCATTTTCCTTAAAATTGCTAGACGGTTCTTCAAAGTTTTTCAATATAGATAATAATACTGAATCATCATGTGATTCAAAATGTTCTGTCTTTAGAGTACAACGTTCTTCTAGTGACTTTTCACTTAAATTACATTTCTTTTTGCTCACATGGAATTCTTCTTCAAACGCGTTATCTCTTTCTTTTCTTTTTCTTTCAATCGTCGTTTGAAATAAGCAGTTTTTATCTGATACAATTTTATTGTCGTCTATCATAACTTTTGGAATTTTTGTAAAAAACGATGATATTTTTGTCTGAGATTTATCGACATTATTAGGAATCTGCAAAAAACAGAGAAAATTCTGGAGTAGTTTATTACACACAAATTCATTTTAGTCTATCCTTCAGATAAATACAATTGCTATATATTGCTATCTTCTATTTTAATTGTGCTAAATGTCTTCCTAACAAACGCCAACTAACAATAATATAACTATTAATTATAATTTCCCACTGAATAATTAATTACAGTATATACAGTAAAGTATAATATAAAGTTTAAGTTATATAATACATAATATTATAATTAAACGAAAGACTCTTAAACAAGCCGAAGAAAAATTTAAAAAAATAAGAGAAAGAAAAGAATCTTCTGATTTACGATTCTATTTTTGTCTGACATCTATAATAAATTTAAGAACATCACTAAAGACCTCAAAATTAAATTATTATATGTTCTTTAGTTTAAACTCAATTTAATAATAAAAAAACAAAAGTTGTTCTTTCGCAACAATTAAAAAAAAATCGTTTATAAAATTTTCTGCAGATTGCAATGCATCCTATGTAGAGCAGACCAAGAAATTAAAAACTAGAATTACTGAATGATATTAATAAAAAAAATCAGGCAATTTATGTTATATTTGAACATAGAATTCATTTAGACCATGAATTTAATTGGGATATTGTCAAAATCTTGGATAACGAAAGATATTTGGAAAGAAGATTGATATCAGAAATGCTCAACATTCAAATACAAGAGAATAGGTTAAACACTGAATTCTTACATCAAGCATACCGCAACATTCTAAATAATTTTAATAGTTTATGACACACACACATATATATATATATGAATTTGACTACTTATCTATATTATTTTTATTTTTATGACTCTTTTGTAACCACATGTTTTCTTTTTGTATATTAGCAATATATCTGTACATTTTTCATACTTTAACTGTCATGTATAAGATCTCTGTCAAAGGGTGCAGCAGGTAGATCATATCAATTTTCAATTAAATCACTTGTAATAAATAAAATATAGCAATTACATTTACTCTAGCACTCGATGATAGATGCTCTTCAAATTTGGTGGGAATCCTTGTTGCATTCTTTGATTTTTTTATGCTGATTTATATTCCAAAGTTAATTATTGACGCTGAAGATGGGTCGAATGGAGTCAAAACGTCTAATCAACTAATATATTTGTAAGATCTCAGAATACAGAATTTTATCATCACATACAAAGTATCACATTAGTGAGTGCTCTCAATCGACTTCTACTCTCCTTATTGGCATAACAGTTATATTATCAAGTAGGAAATTATAATAGTTCTTCTGCTATTCAGAATGATTTTTTGACGTGCAGATAACTAATAATTGATAAATTATGTTACATTATTAGTTAATGTTTGCTGGATTGTATCTCTTCTAAAATTCAGAACCGAAAGAAACATTTAAAAATATTATTTTATAGTAATTTTTAATATTACTTTATAAAAACAGTAGTAAGAAGTATATAAAAAAATAAATAAATAGTAATGATTATCAACATGTAGATGTAAATAAATAAAATACATTTTGTTTACCTTCCTCTGTAACAACTGACGTTTCTTCATATTTGCATATAATACGCAAAATAACTCTACATGTATTTTATGAATGTCAGATTAAAATGCCGTCACTTGTAGCTTAATATTAGCGTTAAATATAGTAGAGTTTAAATCCTATAGATATCTTATTAAGTCCTATCAAATTCTACACAGAATTTTCGTTCCCGCGCAAACATTTCTCATGAACGTCACCATCATCGCCATTTCAACCATTAAGGTACGTTTTCATGGCGGCGATTAGTCGCAATTTTTGTAGCGATTGGACAGTCACGTGACTCCATCTCTTGAAAGTCGTCGCTGTCAGTCGCTTCTGTTCGATTTGATTAAAATTGTAGCGAATAGACGATAATCGCTATAATTTGAATTTATTTTATCAAAATGAATTTATTTTATTAAATCATGCAATTCTGCACAAACAGGGGACTTTCAAAATCTTCTTTTTTTGTATGTTTTTCTTTGCATAATTACAAATGCTGCACTAAACAGGGTCGTTTCTTCCTAATCTTTTCTTGCTTTTTCATGATTTCTATTTTTTTTGACATTCATTCCTGTATATATTTAACAGTGCGCGCGGCGAAAGTTCACACTAACTGATAATTTTATCACACTAATTAATAATTTTATGTTCTTAAATCGTCCTCACCGTGCAAAATTTTTAGAAATGATATAATATTACTTCCGCCTCGCGGCAAAAGTTGGATTGAGTTCAACTTTTGTTGCGCGGTGGAAATTATATATCTATTACTTTCGAGCAAGCGAGACGTTGATATTGGCAACTTCCAATTCAACTTCCATCGCGCGATAAATGTTGCTACGTTTTGTATGCCGCATTTTGTCTGTGGTAGCCCCGTTAGGACTGTATGTTTTATCCTTGTTGTTTACGAATGTTAAATAAGGATAAAGAATATCTGGATGCACCCATAATTCTAAACGCAGCCCAGTTGTGAGCGCTCGCTCTTATTGGTGTATTTCTTCTAAATTTAAAATTCTGATTGGATAAGTTAAAAGAATACACCAATAACAGTGAGCGCTTATTTAACTGTTGAATCCTCTGGGATGCGTTCCAAAACTTAACTCAGTCAACTCCATATCCTTTATCTTTATGTAACATTCGGTGATCAACAAAGATAAAATGATTCGGAGTTGACAGAGTTGAATTTTGAAACGTAAAGCCTTAAACACAATACGAAGGAATATCGATACTGATAGGAATAACACGATTTCAATCAGAAATCAGATACACTAGAATATACACTTTCTGGTTGAAATCGCATTATTCCTATCACTATCGCTATTCCTTCGCATTGTGTTTAAAGCTTAACTATGAATGTCCAGTAGATTCATTTGAAACTTAGGTTATGTTATACATGTATATACTTACTTCATGATATTATATTCCTGTCATTTAAGATAATATGAAAAATATATGAGAAGGAACAGCAGATTGTTGCATAGGGATATACGTAAATTAAATTGCTCTTACTAATTATAAATTATATTAACCTGTAACTCCTAAATTTATTGGTGAGTACAAATGTCGCAGGATGCATTATAATATTTCTAATTGTCTTCGATATGTGAGTGCTGGAAAATATGAAAATAAATATTTTATCACATTTTTTATAAAAAATATTTAATGAAAAATGCATCTTATAATAGAAACAAAGTATTTTTATACAAAGTATTAAATATAGATGGAAGACTATGGCTAGGCAAATGATGCAACGAATGATTGTGAATCTTCTGTTGAAAGCTCAGTCTCAGCCTTTTTTAAAATCGACTCTGCTGTACATGAACAATTATTCGCCCTTTGTTAAGGCCATTTTGCAGAATAGAATGCTGTGCAAGCATGTAGAAATAGTGGATCATACCTGTAAGATATCAAATTATAATGATTACCTCATGAATTACAAGCCAATTCAACGGATCTTGAGGAACACTCTTCAAGAATTACTGAGTATGACAAAAATAGATATCATAAAAGTTATCGAGGAGTATCCACAGCTGAGAAAGAGATCTAGGGCAGATATTCTGAATAATTATTATAATTTAACAAAGGCTGGTATACAAAAAGACACTATCATAAACAACATCTGGTTACTAACTTATGAAAACAATAAACTAACAGATAAGCTTGACTGTATCAAAGTTCTAAACATAGATAACAACCAGCTTGTACCATGGCTATGCTTAACTCAAGATGAACTAGCAAACTATGTACTTTATACTCAAGAAGATATGAAGTCTTATACATACAACAGACTGGAATATCTTTCTCATAAATTTGAGGTATAAGTAAAACTAATCTAAGGGATTCCAAGTTATCAAATATAATTATATACAACAAATATAATTATATACTCTTGATAAACTAATACTACAAATTATATTAAATAATATTTTTGAGACTCTATAAAAAGAAATTTTTTTTAAAAAAAATTGTATGAACTTAAAACATGAAGGATGAACTTAGATTGTTTATAGAAAAAAAATTTGAGTAGAATTAAGATAGAAATTGTTGGTTAGTTATAGATATGTTATAGATATATTTTATGAGTACAAAATTATATATTTTTTTCCAGTGTAGCATACAACGAATATGTGAAATAACAGTACCAAATTCATTCTTATTAAAAATACCAATTTTATCTATAGATAAAAAATCGAACATATTGTATGGTAAGTTAATAAGCAGAATTAAATAGTAAGGTTTAATAATATTACAGGCAGCTATGAAATTTTTTTATTTGCTTTAATTATTTGTGGCATTAGATATTTTCTCGCAAATATATATGCTATACACAAGATTATAGCTTGTCTCCATTCTACTTTTTTACATTCTACATAATGATCACAAATATTTATTTGTCTTCCAATAAATATTGCATATAGCAAAACATTCATAGCAACCTGTGTATATATTTGAATTGATAAGTAAATTATTAGTAAAATATAAAATTATATCTCTAAAAAGATTAATTTTAAATAACTTTACATTCTGTAGAATATAATATAAAAAATAAAGATATATTAAAAGATGTATGGGTTCTTCGATATAGCGAAAATCATATACGTCATAGATGTGAGTTATATAAAGATACAGGAAGGTTAAAGATGAAAACATGGGCTATACGATGTTCACTTCATGTTATATCAAGGTAAATTAATAAGATAGAATATGAAAAATATTTTATTTCTAATATTTTTTATTATTTTTTATGAAATTCTATATTATTGTATCAAATTACTTTTATTTAAAAAAAATTACATTTTGAATATTGTCATTTTATTAACTTCTTAGTTAATAACTCAGTTTCTATTAACTTTTTATTTATTCTTTAATTCGTACAAAATGAAAACAGATATTTAAACAAATATATTGCATATTAGAATATCTAAAAATAGAAAATAAAATAGAGGAATAACATAAAATATTTGTTTATATGTAGGGCCATTCAAAAGAATAAGGTGGAACGTAGCTTAATGCAACATTATGGAAATGTTAGCGACTATTTGCAAAATAAGTTGAAAATCGACGATGAAATGCTCAATTCAGCAGTCCAGAAAGTACCAAATATTTTACGAGTAAATATAGCGAAATTGGATCAATTAATCAATATACTACATCAGAATGGCATTACTAGCGATGAAATATTACAATGTGCACGAATCTTTTATTTCAATATAAATACTATACAGAATCGAATTGCGATTTTAAAGAAAGCAAATCTTGCTCCAAAACTTACTGTGCTAATACTATCTGAGCGAATCTTTGATCAGTACGTAAAATTTACAAAAATAATAGAGAAACTTATATAGCATAATATACACAAACAAATCCCTAATTGATTATTTTTCATAGGTATGTAGAAATAAATAATGAACGGCAGAAATTATTGCAAGAACATGGAAGCGTTAAGAATTACTTAATCAACACATTAAATGTGGAGGAAAAGCTTCTTGAAGAAGCAATTACAAAATATCCATCTATCTTACGAATGAAATTTAAAAAATTGATCAAATTGATCGATTTGTTGCAACAAAATGGTATAACAAGTGACGATATAGTAAATCATCCAAAAATTTTTTATTTTAATATTGAAACATTACGTAAGCGAATTAAAATACTGAAAGAAAACGGTATACCACCAAGAATCAGTTTATTAATGTATGAGCAAAGAATTATAGATCAGTATGTAAAACTTAGATTACACAAAAATATTAATACAGATTAATATTTATTGAATTTATTTCTTTAATTTAATTATTTTTATAATGCGCAAACTGTAAAGTATAAGAATGTATATAAATTTCAAATATAAAGTAAAGTAAATATGAAATAAAAGGAATAAGCAAATAAATCTTTTAACTATATTATTAATACAACTATATATCGAATAAAACACGATTAATTCGTTATATTAATTAATCGTTTATATCAAATATTAATATAATTATATGTTCTGGAATTTCTTATAGGTAGTTCATTTATTTCTTCCATTCATGATCTGTGATTGATTAAAGAAAACAAGTATTTTGCTAAGTTGATATTTTATTAGTTGATATTTTATTTCCATTTTTTGTTAAATTAAAATTTTTTTTACATTCATTTATTAATACATATATATATATA